GTGTTTTGTTTTATCCTAACTTTTGTCTAAGTTTCTTTTTTCTTGCTTTGGGAAACCTAGCGGACTTTATTTTTAATCCTAATTTTTTCCTAGACTACCTTTTATGGTTGTTCGGGTTTCCTAGTAGGTTTACCCTAATTTCTGCGTAGCCCCCTTAGTGGGTTTCCTACCGGGTATCTTGCCCTCTCTTTTTTGCCTTTAGCTTCTATGGGCTTCTTTTTATTTTTGTTTCTCTTTGCACAACATTGCGCGAAACACGAATTTATTATGATGAGGTAAATCCTTATTTTGTGTTTCTAGTCAATCAATGATGATGAGTTTGACTTTTATTTTGGTCAATGACGCAGTTTGATTACTTTGACGCGTTTTGAAAATGTTTGCTTAAACATGATTATTAATGAGGTTTAGATATGAATAGTAAGAAGAGAAACAGATAGTAAGAATGACATTCTTTGTAATTAATAGGGAAATATGTGCCCTATAATGCTCAAGGGTCGGGCTAGCCCCGAGGAGTAATCTCTAATAGTCATTGGATTTACAAACCCTAAGAATCAGAAGGAGAACACCTAATGACAAAAGTCGTTCTCGACGCTTGGACCCCTTCGTTTGGGAAAATTTGATTCAAGGTGCAGAAGGGAGACTTCCCTTTTCTTCATGCAGCTTGATCCTTTGTAGGGTCATGCTTCAAAGGATTGTTTTTAAAATCTGGTAGCTCTCTTATTCCTTGAGAGTTTCTAATGAGCCCTTGGTTTGGGCGACATCCATATTTCCTCATCATGTAGGTCACCGTCATATTGTTGGGGAAGTCTTTTCATATTGGCAAAAGATATTTCAAAGGTCCTCTTCAGCCGCTTTCATTTCAAGGTAGGGCAGACGGCTTGCTAATCTGAATGCCATCTTTAGCTCGAACCGTGACCAGCTTGTCGCCTACCGTGAGTTTGTCTCTTTGGCAGAGCTGCCTCAGCGTCATGAATCCAAAGTCTACTCAATTTCCTCTTTGGATTATGTTTTTCTTCAATTTTTTTCTTTCTTCCTTTATTCTTAGGAGCGTCATCTTATAGCTCCTTGGGGGAATAGATTCTTTTATTTCTAATCCTTCCCCCGATACCGACTATGCTGGAGATATCTTCATTGATGGACGATGTTTTTGCGTATCTCCATGGTACAACTTTATTCGATTCGAGGCATGAACAAATGTAACGACATCCTTGCCCCGTCTTCCTTATTAACTTGGATCAACCATTGGAGAGAACTTGACGACGAAAGGTTTGCTCTTCATCTTATTCTGATTAATGGGAAGCACATCAATTAATCAGTTCTTTTTATTATGTTATTATTATTAAAGTGAGAATGAATGAATACAATTTATGAATGTAATATACGGTTGAAGAGATGATGAAAACAAACAATATTATTTATTTCATCTGGACAATGTACATTCCTCAATGCAATGTTTCAAAGTATATATTTTTAAAAGCGAAGAAGCCTAAAGGAACCCATAAGTGGGTTAGAATTTCTCTGTATTTTCACTTTTGACTTCCCATGCATGACATGTAAATGCTCTATCCTCTTTACACGGTATTGAGGAATGTCCACTTTCTTCAACTGCCTATTACTAGATGCGTGTTATGAGGATGAAGTTTGGTGGATGCATGCATGCATGTGTTTATTTTTTCCTAAACATTATCATGTTTTATTTTATAACATGATGTATGATAGTGTTTGGGATTTTGTGTTTTCTTTTTTGTATGCGGATGAGGGCATGAAGAATACCAGTCGCCTTCTAGAATACAAAAGGAATTTAAGAACGTTTATTTTTATTTTGAAATGAAGTGAATGATTAGTATGGGATAGGTATGCCTTAAGATAATGACTTTGGTATCGTCCTTAAAGCTTACGCTTCACGAAGCACCATACCCACTTTGGTAGAATGGTTCCTTCCTCATAAAGGTCACCATATACCTTAACACACTTGTCTCTTCCTTATGGAAGATTAGAAGCGCACTTGGGTCTCTTTCGCCTTTGTCTTAGGGATATCTAATGCCCCCTAGAATGACTGTATTTATGTATGTGCTAGTACAAAAAGTACTTTTTATGATAAAAAAAAAGTGGCAGATGTTCAAAGTGCGATAACTTTTGACTGGGATGTCGGATTTGGACGCACAACATATCAAAGTGAAGAGAAAAAGGTGAAGAACAAACCACAAATTTGCAAAGGGGATTTGGCCCAACAATTTTCCCAAAAAATGCTCCTAAGACCCATTTTTGAGGGATTTATTAAGATGATGTATATGCATACTTTCCTTATGCATTTATTTTCTCTCTTGGTTCTTCCGCTTATGATGTTATATGAATGATATGACTTTGTCAAAATTCCTTTATTCAAATTCATTATTTTGTTTTTTTTATTGATTGATTTATTTGTTTTATTTGTTTTTATTTGTTTTTCATAACCTTTTATCTCTTCTGTCGGACTGCGTGGTTACTTAGCTTACAAAGAACCTGAAACCAGGCTAGCTAAAAGGCAGACTGTCCGAGATAAGACTGTTTATTGCGAAAGAATAATTTTTAACGTCCCTTATCTCTTCTGTAGGACTGCGTGGCTACTTAGCTTACAAAGAACCTGAAACCAGGCTAGCTAAAAGGAAGACTGTCCGAGATAAGGGTATTTACTGCGAAAATATTTTTGTGGTTTTTCTATTTTTATTTGTTGTTTGGTTATGATATGCAATCAAATACAACAAACAGATGCACACACAATTCACTCATCCGCGAACACGTAGGATGACGTTTTAATTACGAGGTAGGGTTTTCCTGCAGAAAAGTGCATTGACAAAGGTAGGTTCTAACTGTTCTCACCAAGGCCAGGCCCCCAAGGTGCCCCCATTATAGGGTCCCCACTCTCTAGCCTTCCGACCATGCTTAGCACTAAGGTCATAGTCAGTCTTTGTGCCAAAAGAGGAAGGTTATCACCTTGAGTGGTGGTTTCCGATCATACCGGTGGGCTCATGGCCCTCACTATGGCAAACCGTACCTGCCACCCACTCCCTATGGATTTCTCACTTTCCCCCGGGTATAGAGGGAACTGTTGTGTGCAAAGGTTTGTGTATAGTTTGTATTCCAAACAATTGCGTAAAATAAGCAAACAATAGTTATTAAAGCCAAGTAAATAAACATGTTATAAAACAAGGTAGGGTAAAAGCAAAATTTATAAGTTTATTTATTAAACTGGTCCATCACTAAATGAGATCAACTCTCTAGGCTTCCCCGGTGGAGTCGTCATCTGTCGCCGCCATCAAAAGAGGTGGTCGGAGCGACACGATGGTATTCCAACTTCCGTTTCGCGTTTTAAAATGTGACGTTACAACGCCTTTAGGTTGTCCGATAATCAGGCTGGACCTAAGAGCGAGGTTTTCGAAAGGGAACTTTTAGGTTGTTCGATAATCAGGCTGGACCTAAGAGCGAGGTTTTCGAAAGGGTTCTTATGGAGTCGCCACCGATGCTTTTACCAAAAACATCGGAAAAGGAAAAAAGAAGGCATTGGTTTTAAAATGACGTTTTTACCCTTTTTATTTGCAGAATTTAAAAAAATAGTGACTACATGGTCCTAGCAGCTAATGTACAGATAATGTAAATAACAAAGCGATAAAAGAGAGGGAGAAAGTGAAGAAACCTCCGAAACAAGCTTTCTTGATTAATTCTCTTAAAATAGGATGCTTTTTTAGTCCTTCCCTCTACAACGTCGGTCACTCTTTCTCGTAACGCTATAAAATACTCTCTAAGAACACTCAGAAAACTCTGAAAATGCTTCAGAGGGGGTCTAGGAGAAGAATTTGAAGAAATGATAGAAGGAAAAGTTGAAGAACTATGTGAAATGAAGGGGAGAACGTCCTCCTTTTATAGGGATTCACGCCTGTCAGGTCGAGACCGCTGTCTCACCAAACGGGATGGCGGTCTCGCCTTTAGCAAATGGTGAGACGACCATCTCGCCAATCGGGACGGCGGTATCAATTTTTCAAATGGCGAGAAGGCCGTCTCGCCAAACGGGAAGGCGGTCTCGCCATGGCAAGTGGTGAGACGGCCGTCTCGCCAAACGAGACGGCCGTCTCGCCCTTTGCCGATGGTGAGACGGTGGTCTCGACCCTTCAGGTAGAATTCCTTATTTTTTCTGTACAAAAAGTCTTCCTACTCTAATATGGGGCCTATTAGTCTATCCTAGGGACCTTTTAGGACTTTCTCATCTTCGAATTGGAGGTCTTTCACTCTTTATTTTGCAATCGAACAAGATTTGGGGTCTACAAGCCTCTGGAGACACTTTCACAAGACTAAAGCATGTAATATTGTTTAAAGTGGGAGATGAGATTGTACCAAAGACATTTTCTACAAACACCTAAGAAAATTTAAAGTACAAAGAAAAATTACAACAAGACAAATCCGTGACAAAAATTAATAAAGGAAATTAGTGATTGAAATTTGCTGCAATAAGTCTTTTGTGATGGAAATGGTTCGCGACTATTTGGTTTTGTGGCGGATTTGGAAAACTTTCACAACTTAAAGGCTCCATTTCGGTTTGTGTTTACATTCTTCATATGTCCAGCTTTGGCTTCTAAGCTCCTTCTAAGACAACCTTCTCCTTTCTTCTTAACAACACCTAAGATTTATCTTGAAAAAACAGTGAGCTTCCCAGATGTTAGCACCCAATTTCGTCTGGGTATATAAAAATAAAAATAATATTAATAATCAATAGTAACGTTTATTTTGAAAATATGAAAAAAGGATAAAAAAAAGAAAAGAAAATAAAAAGAATAATAATATAATAATAATTTTCTTTAGTATCATTCCACAATTTTTGAGAAAAGAAAAAAAATAATTTTATGAGGACAAAAAAGAAAATAAAGGAGTAGAATAAAAATTTAAAATACAAATTTTATTTTTAGGCCTAGCCCATCTGTCATAATTGACCCTAATTTTAACCTAATTTTTTCTTTTAAGAGAGGAGAATGGAGGAGACATTTCTCTCCACCTTCACGGAGCAACCCCACTCTCCCTGCACCTTCACTTCCCCACTCTCCTGCACCTTCACTTCCCCTCTTCCCTTTGAGCCTCGCACCCTCTCCACTGCTCATCTCCAGCTCCCTCACCCCCTTCATCCCCTAAAAACCCAATCTCCTTCCTTTCTTCCCATTTCCAGACCCTCACTTTGTACTTTCCCTCATCCCTCCATGAGCCCCCCACTCTCCAGCCCTCACTCCCCCAGCAACCTCCATTTCCATGCCCTAAACCACCGCCACCGCCACTTCACCCCCCCCCCGCGCTTCTACCTCCTCATATCACCAATTCCATCTTCTTCAATTTACCCGCGGCACCCAAATCGCCAAGCCACCACCACGGCCATCCTCCATCCAGCCGTAGCCACCATTCGTGCCCAATCTTCACCGTCCAATCACCCAGCCACCACGGGATTTGGCCGTGCTGCCAACCCTTCACCGCAGCCTAGTGTCCATGAGTCATCTCTCCCCTACATCCGCGAACTACTGCCTTCACCATAGCCACCGCGCCTCCACCCTAGCAATCCCAGCCCCTACCTTCGCTATCCCTCGCATCTCACCCTCACGAAGTCACAGCCGTGACCCAAACAACCCCATCTGTGAATCGTGCCACTCGAGGGCCACCTTCGCCAGTGCTGCGCCGCCACTATGATTCGCAGCACCACCAATCGCGGCCCACCTCCTTCACCAGAATGCTAGTCGTTTATTTCCGCCCATCACACCAAAATTAGGAACCACCAGGAGCCTAGGAGAACCTCCAGCCATCACCAACAGCCAACGCGTCCCACTAGTGGCTACCGCGAGCCCCACCGTGGAATCATCGTGCCTTCTTCGCGCTTGGCCTGCGTCCCTCACCACGGGTCTCGACCGCGCCAACCACCACACGCCTTCAAAGCGAATTGCCTTCCCACTCGCGTGTTTAGCTGCCGCGAGTGGCGTCCCCGGAGTAGCACCAAGTCCCCTGCTCGAAGGTGAGGCCGTGAGCCAGCTTCCCTGTGGAGGTCGAACTCGAGGCCCAGAATCCATGTTTTGGGTCACGTTTTGTTTGATTTTCCTTATGTTTTCGCCTTATTCTGATTTGGTATTGCATTTGTAATTAGGGTCTTTGTTTCTAATTGGTTTAGTTTTGTTTCTCGTTGAGGTTTTGGTCTCTGATTGATTCAGTCTGCAAGATTTTGATCAGATGTTGGCTTCTGCCTGGTTTAGATTTGACTTTACTTTGTTGCTTTGTTTATCTGATTGTGGATTAGGACTGTTGGTTGATCTTCAAGTATGTGTTTGGTTCAAATGGGTTTGTCGGGTATAATGGGGGTTTCTAGTGATGTGCATCCTAAATTTGGGATTTTTGGTGTTGGAATGTATATACATGTTGATCTGTCAATTTTTTTTTTTTAGACTGTTAAGGACTGTGAGTCCCATAGTTGGTTTATGTCATTTTGTTGTAGATGGTTTATGTCATTTTGTTGTGGTTATCCTGCCGACATTTTGTTTAATAGTTTGGGTCTAAAGCTTTTTTTTAGTTTAGGTTGATAATTGTTTTACTTGGGTGTAGTAATTTGAATGTATATTGGACAATTAGTTGAAAGTTCATAATTGTGGGGTTGATTCTTATTGTATGCATTTAGGGTTGTTGGCCCCGCGTACCGATCTAGGGTTGTCGGTCCTGTACCTTGATTTAGGTTTTTCGGACCTAGGGCATAAACTTTAAGGTACGGGTACGACCACTTGCGTTGTCATGTCTTCTCCTTTTAAATAAACTATGAGGTACGGGTACGATCACTCACATCGTCATGTCCTCTCTTTTTAAATAAACTTTGAGGTACAGGTATGGCCACTCGCGTCATCATGTCCTCTCTTTTTAAATAAACTTTGAGGTACGGGTACGATCACTTGCATCGTAATGTCCTCTCTTTTAAATAAACTTTGAGGTACGGGTACGACCACTCGCATTGTCATGTCCTCTCCTTTTAAATAAACTATGAGATACGGATATGATCGCTTGCATCATCATGTCCTCTATTTTGAATAAACCTTTGAAACATGGGTATGGTCGTACGCGTGATCATGTGTCTTTAAAACGTCAAAAACAATATAAAAAACGTTTTTAAAAAAACCAAAATTTTCAAAATATCAATCAAACACACGAACTTTTTTCTACAAAGAACTACGTAACCCTGATTTCTCATTTTGAATGAGAATACGTAGGAGCAAGGTCAATCCTTGTTGGGCCCAAAAAAACAAAAAATACTGTAGTCCATTTCTTTTCCCTTTTCCTTTTTCTTTCTCTATTTTCTAATTTTTGGAGGAAAATAAATATTTTTAAAATGACATTTAATTTCGCACATTCAACTAAGGTTAACCGTCTTAGGACGAACATTGTAGGGTGTTAATACCTTTCCTACTTATAACCGACTCTCGAACCCGAATTTGGTTTTCGTAGACCTTGTCTTATCTTTATGGTTTTTCTATAGTTTTCTTGAATAAACTATGGTGGTAGCTTCAAAACTCTGATCTGGTGATTTTTAAACCTTTTAAAATTTGGTTCGTCGTCCCATGCGATTTCGGTTGCGACACCAGAGAATAAGGAAAAAACACAATGGTTATCTTGTCTTAAGAGCTTTGAGATACAAATAATCAAAACAAAAGAAAAGCTTACACAAGGAATGGACACAATCAAATGATTAGATTTATTGTTTGACAAAACTTAAGAAATCCAAAAAAACAAGCAAGAAAATTTTACAAATTTTAAAAGAAGGCACTCAAAAGAAGCCTAAGCAGATCTAGAATGGATTACAAAAATAAAAGACTCAAGTTGAATCACTTATAGGCCCAATTTAAGCTTGGCTGAATTATACATTCCCTTATCCTCTTTTAATACATGCAATTTTCAATTCCAATATTCTCTTAAGGGGTGTGGGACTTAACCAAGAGTTGCAAACATATCTTTCAAACTTTATTTTGATTAAGTCTCGACTTTTCTCTTTTAATTTCTTTTCTTTTCAACTTCACAATTTTAATTGTTTTTGTTCTTATGAGACTTAGCCTCCTTTTTTTCACTAATTCAATTTCAATTTAAATTGCATGGTATTATTTTCACATAAGTCCGAACATTGTCATGGCATATTATCAACAATTGATTCAACTTGCAAAATTCAAAAGAAGTCTAGACTAGTCTCGGTTTGTACAAGAATTTTTATGTCTAGAATTTTGTCAATATCTAATAGGAAAAGAATACTCAAATGTACAAACCACATACACATAATTGGTTTAGTTCCTAGCATAAACTCGGTTTCAATTTTCTTCAACAAAATTTTTGTTTTTCTAACACATGTGGGACAACTTCTATGGAATTATGAACATATAAGGACTAAACATGACTATCTAATACAACATGGAAGATTATAAAATTTAAAGCTATGTAAACAAAATTCTATGGCTACTCATACAATATATTAAAGAAAATTTCTAGACATACAATTGATTCAAGAAAGGAACTAAGCAATGAGTCAATTACAAGAAAACAATTAAAGAATCCATGACTGACGACATATAACTCAATTAAAGACTCAAGCAATATCATACACGACCGAAAATTCAAACACAAGAAGATGGAAAGATGAAGGTACTTATCTCTTGAAAACCTCCATGCCTAGCTCATAATACCAAATTGATGGAAATAATCTCCTCCTTCCACCAAAAATATGCCCAAGTCCGCACTCAAGCTCTTAAATGGCTGAAAATTGTTCCCCAAGTCTCAAAAGAAGACTTGGCACTGGCTCCTCCAAGGAAGGTTCCTTTTTTAGGAGACGAGAAAAAAATCTCCAAAGGTCACTTGAAGTCAAGCCAAAATGGGGTACAAGCAAAATTGTAAGTTCCACACACTAAACTTGGATTTTATTCAAATGTGCCAAAGAAGCTACAGAAAGGGTTATATTTATAGTGTTTTCCCTCCCATCCACTTCAAGTATTTAGAGATGAGGGACTTATTCTACTATTATGTGACGTGTCGAAAATGGGCTCTAGAAGTCCCACATTCTTCTTTTCTATGCCTCCTTAAGAATTTATATACCATATTGAACACAATGGGTCACAAGCACTTGTGTCAGTGCAACCTTGACCGTGTGAATGGATCTTGACCGTGAGCTTGGTGCGGTCACCATGGTGGCTTGGCCGAGTGACTTTTGGCTGCACCTTCTTGGACTGTGATAACTTCTCTTTTATGTTGTCTTCTTCTTCTAAGTTTCACATTGAACAAGAGAAGGTTTCCTCAAATGTTTATATACTCCAAAGCTTCTTTGAGGTGCATCTGAGATGTCAAAGAGGAGAGCTTGGTCGTGTGGCATCCTTGGTGTGCTCCTATGACTCGGTTGGTCTTGGTTTGGTGCGCTCGATGGGCTTGGTGTGCGTCATGGCTGTGTGTACATCTTTGGGACCCTACAAAAAGAAGAGAAGGATTTATTCAATACAAGTTTATTTTGAGGTATTGAATTTAAACTCCATAAGAGGAGTATTTGTGGTGCCGCCTCATTCTCCTCTATCCTTCAAGCCATGGTCCTAGTGATAGGCCCAATATGGCCTTGTGGTCCTTCATCACCAATAGCCAGTTCTCAAATCTTAGCAATCAAATTGCAGATATCTACAATAAACTAGAAGATTTACAATTCAATTAAGGATCATGGGATGATTAAATTTCTACAAAGGGTCTTTCTTAACCACTACGATTTATTTTTCTATGTTTTTCTATTTTGTATGTACTGTAATATTAAGACTGGCTTATGACTAGGAATCTTAAACTCTCAAACTAAATGCACAATGTTTCTTTTTAGCTTCACTATTATTTGCTCCATTTTGATGAAGTCAAAAGGGGGAGAATAATTGAATAAGCTCACTAACATTAATTGCATCTAACATAAACATCTAAGTGTTTTCTTTACAAGATTCAAGGTGTTCTTTGTCTTCATCAAATAGGGGAAGAGTGATGAAGAAATAAGAATATTGGAAGTCTTGAAGATTTGATGAAGTCAAAAGATGTCATAAATAGGAGATGCTATGTTAGTTCATTAGTGAGTCCGCATCTACCTTGAGTAGGTATAATCATTTATCCTTTCCTATAACATGAGTTTCTATCTTTTTTTCAGCCGCAATTTTAATTGATACATTTTCGAAATGATTGATTAAAACCATTTAAACAAAGTGAAAACATTTTTTGTTGTAGTTTTAATTGATATATCTACGAATTAATCGATTAATTTCACTTAAGAAGTTTGAAAAAAAAAACTTATGTTAGAATTTTAACTAATATATCTTCGAAATAATAGATTAAAATCACTTAAGAAATTTTAGAAAACCTTCTACCAGGATTTTAAGCTGATATATCTTCAAAATAATTGATTAAAATCACTAAAGAAGTGTTGAGAAAACTTACTGTCGAATTTTAATCAATATAACTTTGAATTAATCGATTAAAAACACTTAAGCAATTTTTGTATCACAGTTTTAAT